AGAGAGAGAGAGAGAGAGAGAGAGAGAGAGAGAAAGAGAAAGAGAAACATGGATATGAGAAAGACACATTGTTTGGTTGCCTCCTTCACATGTGATGACCAGAGTGAAGATCAAACCTGCAACTCAGGTACATGCCCTTGACTGGCAATCAAATCCACGACCTTCGGTGCATGGGCCAACACTATAACCACTAAACAACACTCGCCAGGGCAAGCATATGCAGATTTTTTATTCTTGGAGTTCTTGGAACCAATCCCTAGTAGACACCAATGAATGACTATATAAAACCCTATTCTTATCTTGAAGGGAATCTTTGCTTTAACCTGAGAGACAGAAATAAGTACAGATTTTTTAAAAATATATTTTATTGATTTTTTACAGAGAGTAAAGGAGAGGGATAGAACTAGAAATATCGATGAGAGAGAATCATCGATCAGCTGCCTCCTGCACACACCCCACTGGGGATGTGCCCGCAACCAAGGTACATGCCCTTGACCGGAATCGAACCTGGGACCCTTCAGTCCACAGGCCGACGCTCTATCCACTGAGCCAAACCAGTTTCAGCAATAAGTACAGATTAAAATAACTAAAGCAATCAAATAATTTAACATATGTGATTCTTTTGTAAAGCTTACAAAAGAATGTGCACTTCAATGTATATGTTATATCTCAATAAAAAGCTTAAGGGTAGCAGGAAGAAAATAACAGGCTTTAATCTAGTACCCACTGAGTTTGAAAAGCATACCAATTAGGACAGTAAGTTTAGAGATCTTTAAGGGAGTTCTTGAACTTGAGCTACCAATGTGTTGAGAGTCAAGATGAGGAAGGTACAAGGAGAATTCAGATAAAGGAGAAATATAATATTTAGAAAGAAAACAGGCAGCATAATGGTTAACTATGCAGACTGTATCCAAGAAGGCTTAGTTCAAATCCCATATCTTTCCATTTTAACTGGAGAATGAAATTCCAGATTTTCATCCTTGAGAAGAACCTCTTTAAGTCTGGTTCCCCAACTGTAAATTTTGGATAATAGGACCCTTTTCATTTTATAAAATTATGTATTTTAGAGAGTAACATGTAGCCTGGCATATAATAATCTTTAATACATGTAGTAGTGAAAGGATAGAATTTACAAGTCTTGTTAACATATTGGTATAGACACATGGAGAAGGAGGAATTAAAAAGAATGCCAGCACTGGCCAGGTAGCTCAGTTGGTTAGAGCACCGTCCCAACACGCTAAGGTTGCAGGTTCGATCCCCAGTCAGGGCACATACAAGAACCAACCAGTGAATACATAAACAAGTGGAACAGCAAATCGATGTTTCTCTTTTTTCCTCTCTAACATTAAAAAAAAAAAAAAAAAGGAAGAAAAAGAATGCCAAGATTTCTACACTGGGAGTTGCTGTCATTTATGTAATCAGGAAAGGTAGAAAAAGCTTTATGGTTGGCACTCATCATTATCTTTCTTTGGACTAATTTAACATATGTGATAAGAGCACATAAAGTCCATATAATTTGATGAGCTAGAGCTATGCGAGGATGTTGAGCCATCAAAAGGAAAGGGCCCAATGTAAAGGCTCAGGGAAGTCTTCTTAGAGAAGGTGAGTTTGCAGACAGTCCTGGAGAATGAGCGAGCTGAAGTGGGAAGGGCATTCCAGATTGAAACAAACATGAGCAAAGGCATAGAGGTGACACGCAGCATAGTGAACCTGGGAAGCTGTAGACAGTTTGCACACACAAAAAACAAGATGGTGAGGGGATGGTAAATGAAGCTGGAACATGGGCAGAGGCCACACCATAGTCATCCTTCACGGTTGTGCCATACTACAGGGCTGCTCCATGGCCCTGGGGGTGGGGGTGGGGGTAGTGTTGCTGGCCCAGCACTGTGCATACATGTGCACTTTTAGCTATGGGCCCCTCCTCCCTGTTACTGAGATCCTGGCATATCCTGTTTTTCTAAGCTTGCCCCACAGGGTGAGCAAGCAGGACCAGCTGGCATAGGGTGTTTGGAAAGGGATTGATAAAATGTCCAGGCTGTGTCATGTCATGTCATGCCAGAGGCCGAGATTCCCCCCCCCCCCCTCCTTCTCTAGGCTAAGGGCTGTGACACTTCCTGAGGAGGCATGGGTGTGACCCATTCCACCCACCAGTGGTCCATGAGTCATTTATCCAGCAGGTCTTTGATGAAGGAATAGTGAGCATTATGTTAGGAGCTTGGAAAACACTGAGAAATAACTCAGTTGGGTCACTTGAAGATGGCCCCATCCAATTGGAATGTACTGCATAAACACCCTGGAGAATGTCACAAGGCATAATAGCTGCGATATCAGTAGCTGATTTTATCAAAATAAATAAAAAAAGCCCTGGTTGGTTGCTCAGTGGTTAAAGCATGGTGACGGCATTTCAGGGGTATGCATTTTCAATATGGTGAATAGGTAGCAGAGGCTAAGGAAACCCAGCACTAATGTTATGATTTTTATTTCTATATCTTAATCCATTGCTATTTCCAACTGGAAGTTTAAAATTTTTTTGTTGATACTAACGAAGTGTGGCCTAGTTAATTCTCATAACAGCCCTAATAAGATGGTTTCATTTTATGATGAGGAAACGACTCATAGAAGTGCAGTGAATTGCCCAAGGTCAAACAGCTTCTGAGCCGAAACCGGTTTGGCTGAGTGGATAGAGCATTGGCCTGTGGACTGAAAGGTCCCAGGTTCGATTCTAGTTAAGGGCATGTACCTTGTTTGCAGGCACATCCCCAGTATGGGGTGTGCAAGAGGCAGCTGGTCGATGTTTCTCTCTTATTGACGTTTCTAGCTCTCTCTCTCCCTTTCTCTCTGTAAAAAAAAAAAAAAAAATCAATAAAATATATATTTATATATATATATTTATTTATTTATTTATTTATTTATTTTTTAAACAGCTTCTGAGTGGCGGAGCTGGAATTCAAATCCAGTAGTTAGCCTCCACTGTCTCCATTGCTTAACCACTGGATATACTGCTATCCAGAGAAGCAGCTAAGCCTTTTATTTTAAGTAAATGCTGTAAATATAGAGAAAGGAGCTATTACCATGGATTGAGAGCATCCACAAAGGCTCCTAGAGAAAGTGGTACTTGATTGGGTTGAAAGTTGATAGGAAGGAAGAGCAGATAATCAATTCAGTTACCCTTCTCCTTTGAATCATCACTTTTCCCTCACCAGCAGGGAACCTAAAGATCATGTAGCCCAGGGGTTCTCAAAATCTCTTAGAATGTGGACATTTTTCTTTAAATGAACAGAGATCTCTGTCTTAGAGAAGACCCAGATTTAACCTTCCTCATGACTCCCAAGGGCCACCTTTTTATTTATCTTTTATTTATTAATCCTCATCTGAGGATATGCTTTAAATTTTTTTTAAAAATATTTTTAGTTGTTATTTATTTTTAAATATATATATTTTTTATTTTAGAGAGAGAGAGAATCATCAGTCAGCTGCCTCCTGCTCTCCCCTTACTGAGGATGGGTCCTGCAACCTGGCATGTGCTCTGACCTGGAATATAACCAGTGATATCTTGGTGTAAGGGACAACATTCAACCAACTGATCTGCCTGGGCCTGGACTTTCATTGATTTTAGAGAGAGGGTTGGGGTGGAGGGGAGAGAAACATCAAGTGCTTGCCTTCCCATATGAGTCTTGACCAGGGGTAGAACCCAAAACCTAGATATATATACCCTGGCCAAAAATCAGACCTCCAACCTTTTGATGTACTGGATGATGCTCAAATCAATGGAACCACCAGGCCAGGACAGGGGTGTTTTTATCTTTGCTGTCTAGAATAGACAGTGGCTCCCAAAAGGTAGAACTGAAGTGGACACTTTTTTTTAAGGTTTAGATCTTTACACAATACTGGAGGCCCAGTGCACAAATTCGTGCATGGGTAGAGTTCAGCTGGGAGGGGGCTGATTGAGCATGGTCAGCGGGGGGAAGGGGCTGTGGGCAGTTGGCCAGCTGTCCCCACCACCAATCTGGTGGGGGGGAAGGGGTGATCAAGGGCCGGGCCAGCGGGGCAGGGAGAGGCCACCCCCCTATCTGGCTGGTTGGCTGGCCACAGTGCGCATTATAGTCATCAGTTCCAATTGTTCTGGTGTTCCGGTTGCTTGGCTTTTATATATATATATAGATTATTGATTGTTTGATTTCAGTGAGAGGGAGAGAGAGAAACATCAGTGATGAGAGGGAATCCTTGATAGGCTACCTCCTGCAAGACCACTACTGGGGATTGAGCCCAAAATCTGGGCATGTACACTCACCAGAAATTGAACCCTGACCTCCCAGTTCATATAGTTCATATATTGATGTTCAACCACTGAGCAACACTGGTCATGCAGAAGGGAACATTTTATTTATTTTTTATTTTTTAAGAGTTTTTTTGTTTGTTTTGTTTTGTGTTGTTTTTTTTTAATATATTTTATTGATTTTTTACAGAGAGGAAGAGAGAGGGATAGAGAGCTAGAAGCATCGATGAGAGAAGCCTCCTGCACCCCCCCCCACTGGGGATGTTCCTGCAACCAAGGTACATGCCCCTGAACGGAATTGTACCTGGGACCTTTCAGTCCACAGGCCGACGCTCTATCCACTGAGCCAAACCAGTTTCGGCAGAAGGGAACATTTTAAACAGTAACCAAATAGGTACTCTGCTATTGCTTCTTATCTATTTTCCTTTGTATCTTGCTCAGATTGAATTGTTGGCAGCTACAGATGAGCAACAGAGTGAATGAAAGGAGTTGGGGCTTAGAACTGCAGTAGGTGAAAATGAAGGGAGTTTCAGCCAGGTAGGGTCTAGAAGAAAGAGCTGCATACTCTGGGATTGGAGAGTAAGCATAAATCTTCCTTCCCTACAACCCACACTGCAATGTGGTCTCCAGAAAATATATCAGTCACTGTAAGTCCAACAGGGCCTTGCCTTATAAAAGAAATGGATGACCAACACCTTCTCATTGTCCCTTCTGCTTTCCCTAGATATGTGCAGGTGAAATTTGTCTGTAGTCGGACCCAGTCAAGTAGGAAGAAAACAACAGACGCGGACATGTGCCCAGCATACTTGCTGCTGCAGTACAATGAGAAGCTAGATAGACTGTTTATCAGTGAACTCAACACCCAGCACATACATGTTGACTCCAAAACTGCGGGTCCCGAAGGAGACACTGCTGAATCTCAAAAGGCAGTGCATCTGCAGAAACCTGAGCCTGAGCAGCCCACATTTAAAAAAGACCTTACCAGGGCTGACAAGCCCCTGGTTGAACCTTCATTTTACTTAGGTAAGATCCAAGCAGCCTCAAAGCCAGAGCAGGAGGGTATCACTCCTTCTGACCTGGCCACGATCGCAAAAGTGATGAAGAACTTCCTTAAGGTGGATGAGGGTTCCATGGCCTCCCTCAGTGTAGGCAACAGCCAAGACCTGGACCGGCTCAGCTTTCAGAGCAGCAAGATGAGCAAACTGTTCGTCCGCTTCCCGGAGAACCTCTTGCTGCACCGGGTGGAGAATGCCCAGGGCCACATCCTCTACGCTTTCTTGGTGGAAAACAAGGAGCGAGAGAGTCGGGTGGTACACTTTGCTGTACTCGGGGCCGAGACAGCCACGTCTGTGGCCAAGATGCTGGGTATCTTCACAGAGTTCAACTCCGATTGGCCCAGGGTCAAGGTGATCTTTGTGGACCCGTCTTACCCTTACCGAGCCATCCTGCAGGAAATCTTCCCTGCGGCCCGCATTCTCCTCTCCATCTACCACACAACCCGGCTCTTAGAGAAGAAGTTGCATCGTAGTTCAGCAAGGTCATCCTTTAAAAGCCGCATGAAGGAAGCCCTGCGGGAGGCTGTGTTTGTCACCTCTGATGCCAGCCTGCAGAACCTCTGTCAGATGTCCCAAAACCTACTGGATGAGGAGCTCTTCGGCTTCCTGCAGGCCCACTGGTTCTCCTGTGAACTGCTGTGGTACATGCACGTCAGGAAGGGCCTGCATGCGTGTAGCACCTACATGGACAGCCTGGACATCGTCAGCAGCAAGGTGTCAAGTCTCTTCAGGAAGCAGCAGTCCCTGCTGGACTGCATCCTCCACTTTGTGGATTACATCGACTTCTTTAATACCAAAGGTGTGAAAAACTTGCCCACAGCTCCTCCCACGTTAAAGAAAGCCCGGCCGGCAAGCATGTTGCCGAAGTCCAAGAAGCCTTTTGGAATCCGTGGCGGGAGCCTCGCCAGGCTCCCCATGAAAGAGACAAAGCCATACCCACTGCAGGTGCAGTTGGAGCAGCAGCCCTTCCGAGGTGGCATGCTAGACACCTTGCACCAGAGTGGCTTCGAACTGGCCTACAAGCTGTGCTACAATGAATGGGAGGTGGTACAGAACTCGACCCACCTGATGGACGTGGCTGGCTCCTCAGTGGACATTAAGCTGCTGGAGGACTCTCACCAGGTTAGCAAAGACGGCTGTAGGTGCAGCTGTTTCTTTCAGCAACGGTACCACCTGCCGTGCCGACACGTTTTGGCCCTGCTCCACAACAACCAGAAGCCAGTGGGTGAAACCATGGTTTGCCGCCGGTGGCAAAAGAGGTACCAGCACCTCCTTGGGCCTAGCGGGGAGTTCCGGGACCCTGCTGTGGTCCCAAACCCAGGCCAGCCTGGGAAGCAAGGAAGGAAGGACATGATCCGGGACCTGAGCAGGGAACTAACAAACCTGCTAATGCAGAGTGAGGGGCCAGAGCTGGAGGAGCGCATTTCCGCCCTGCGCAGCATTGTGGACATCTGGGCTGATCCTTACCAGCCATCTGCGCCCACCCAGCAGCCAGCGGACTTCAAGGATGTGGGCCGCCTCCCTTTTCTCTGGGGAAAACAGGAGGAAGGGGAGGGATTCCTTGCTGGAGCCACGATAGGTGATTAAAGCACTCGCTCTGGTGCATTGAACCACAAACCCCTCTCCTCGGAAGTCTGAGAGCTCACAGTGGGCGGGTCATGCTAGGGGTCAGCATTTTAACCAATGCCTTCCTGGGTAGGGCTAGGAAGATTGTTACAGTAGAGAGAAGAGGATCCCACTGTGTGACAGTCCTTTGCATTTCCCCCTTTTTGCCCTACCTTTGGCATTCTTTGGGAGGCCCATTCATTGTTTAAGGCCAAAGTTGTCTCCATGTTGAAAGGTCATCCCTCTGTCCCCCCCAGTCCCTGAGAACAGATCTTATTCACTTTACAGAGATGAACCTCATGACCCAGGGATGGGGTGAGATGAAATGGACCCGGGAAAAGGGCTTGTTCCAGGGACAAAGAGAAGGAGGGTGATCCTTGATTATTGCTGCTTTTTACAAAGAATCTGTTCCATGTGTCTATTTTTATTCATATTAAAGGTTTTGTTTGTTGTTGTTTTTTAATAAAATCAAATAAGGGAAATGTGTGTTGCTTGAATAGGGAAGGAATCGAGTAGGGGATGTGAAGCAAAACAACTTGATGCCTCAAATTCAGAGACTTAATCCACCACTTCATCCACTTCCTACCAGCCAAACCTTCCATTGACTTCAGGCTGCCTCATATCCCAACAGGATGAGGCCAAATAGGGAGGGAAGAAACTGGAATCTTTTTATTTTGTTTTAAAATTTTTTTTATTATTTTTTAAAAATATATATTTTATTGATTTTTTACAGAGAGGAAGGGAGAGGGAGAAAGAGTTAGAAACGTTGATGAGAGAGAAACAACGACCAGCCGCCTCTTGCACACCCCCCACTGGGGATGTGCCTGCAACCAATGTACATGCCCTTGACCGGAATCGAACCTGGGACCTTTCAGTCTGCAGACCGACGCTCTACCACTGAGCCAAACTGGTTTTGGCTATTTTATTTTATTTTTAAATATATTTTTATTGATTTCGTAGAGGGGGAGAGAGAGAGAGACATCAGTGCTGAGAGAGAGTCATTGATTGGCTGCCTCCTGAGTGCCCCACTCTGGGGATAGAGCCTGCAACCGGTTCATAGGTCCACGCTCAACCATTAGCCACGCCAGCTGGGTGAAACTTAAACCTACTTACACAATAATGTTGGGCAAGTCATTTAACCTCTTATAATCAGTTGCCCGCAGCTTGCAGGAAGACTGTAGGAAAGTCCCTAGTTTCTTTGATCCGGGTTTCCTCACCTGCAAAAATCAGTGTTGGGCTCTGGCAGGTTTGGCTCGGTGGGTAGAGTGTCAGCCTGCGGACTGGAGGTTGCTGGGTTCAATTCCGGTCAAGGGCACATGCCTGGGTTGAGGGCTCAGTCCCCAGTGTGTGTGTAGGGAGGGAGGGGGGGAGTTGTGCAGGAGGCAGCCGATCAACTTATCTCTCATCATTGATGTTTCTCTCTCTCCCTCTCTTCCTTTCCAAAACCATTAAAAAAAAAATATTTTTTTTTAATCAGCGTTGGCCTAGTTTCCCCTCTAGATTTATATAAATGGAACATTTTAGATAGAGCGTTAGCCTGCGGACTGAAAGGTCCTGGGTTCGATTCCGGTCAAGGGCATGTACCTTGGTTGGGGGCACATCCCCAGTAGGGGGTGTGCAAGAGGCAGCTGATCGATGATTCTCTCCCATTGATGTTTCTAACTCTCTATCCCTCTCTCTTCCTTTCTGTAAAAAATCAATAAAATATATTTTTAAAAAAAATGGAACATTTTCACCACAGTTACAAGGATCAACACTGACTTTTGTTGCTGCTAGTTTGTAATCTTAATCCCCTAGAGCGTGGTAGCCAACCATCTTCAGGGAAACTGAGGCCAAAAGATGGCAGTCCATCTTGGTTCTTGCACTAGTTCCCCATGACCTTAACGAGTCACAGCTTCATTTTGGATCTCTCTTTCTGTAAAATCCGGGAAGGGTTGGCTGGGCAATAAACACCAAGCTCTCTTAAGATCTGGGTTTTCTCAAATCCACGGGCTGGGCTCTTAACCCTTGACCTCGAGGCGGGACTTGAAACCTGGGCCTCAGTTTCCCCCAAGGTAGAAGACTCCATACAACTACATATGCACCCTTTCCTACCGCCCTCCCACACACACACTCGGGGCCATTGGAATTTGACTAGAAAAGAAAATTCTTAAAAAAAAGAAAAAAGAAAATTCTTAAAACACTTCTATTTATTTTCCATTTCATTTTCGGCCGCTGAGGGAGTTTCCATAGTAACACGTCCTAGTCGGTTCCACGGATGGGAGTTTCCAGAGTTCCAGGTTCAGGTCTCAGACTCTCCTGGATGCAAATATTTTCAGGCTCCTATTGGTTGTCGCCAGCCGAGCCCCCTCGTAACCATGGTAACAGCGCCGCCCACAAGTTGCCGGGCTACGATTGGTCCGAGCTCGAGAGCCCTAACGTGAGCTCCTCAGGCCATTGGCCCGAATCACAGGAAACTGGCGCCGCGGTTGGTGAGTCTAGAGGTCCGTCAGAGCCCGAGACTGGGTCAAATAGGGAGAAATGGCGACTGAGCCCGCTTGTGGGTGAGTGGTTTCGGGAAGGGTGGAGGTATAAGGCAACGGCTTACGGTCGGCCTGGACACAGCTCCCAGGGGGGTGGGAGGTGGACGTCTCTTCTGGCTCCGGCCGGACTCCGTATGGAAAAGTCCGAAATCAACATCCTCCCATCGGGCAAGAGGTGAGAGGTCAGAGGCCGCGTCCTTCCTCTGGGCCCGGCTTATGGAGCTCAGGTACTTTGAAAAGCTGTCGGGGTCCCGAGCCAACGACTCAGCGTCCAGCTACTTACACAGTAATGTTGGGCAAGTCATTTAACCTCTCTGAGCCTCAGTTTCTCATCTGTAAAATGGGGACAGTAACCTGCTTGGAAACATGTGACTAGAACTTTGCGCTTCACCTGGGTATTTACGCAGCGGCGTATTTGTTAGCCCTGTTTTAAGGCTGAAGAGCTCACTTGTTAGCCCTGTTTTAAGGCTGAAGGGAAGGAGGCTCAGAAGGTGTCATTGACTTGCCCAACATCACACAGCAAACTTTGGGGCGGTTGCATTTCTCTTAACTACAGCAGGACCAAATGAAAAAATGGGTGCCGAAAGGTAACTTGTACATATAAAGTGCTGTACACGTATTTAAAATGCTATTTTAAAAAACAGACTACATGCAGCCCTAGCCTTCACACCCATTCATTCAGATCATATGGAACCAAATGGCTGGCTTATCAGTTAGATCTCAGCTCCAATGTCATCCTCCCTTCCCCCAGAAAGGACTTCCCTGAGCACCTTAGCTAAAGTTTCCCTCCAACCCCAGTTCACTCACGGTTACCCAGTATTGGGGTCTTTGTAACCTTCATTATCTGATATATCTTCGTTTGTTTGTTTACATGTTTATTGTGTTATGTCCCCCAGAACAGTGCTAATACACAGGATGTGTTCAATAAATATTGTCTGAATAATTGAAGAGCCATGCCGCTACTGTCTCCTTAAACCTGTGTTCCTCTCCATAGGCCCCTCTTTGGAACAAGAGCTGGGAAATACAATCCAGCCTCAAGCCGCAACATAGTTGGAGCTTGAGGGGCTGGGAGCCTCCTGTACGCAGCCTTGCAGAGAAGTATTTTGACCTTGGCATCTAGACATCTCCCATCTCCCCCATGGCCCTGACAATGCTGAATGAGCTCTTCATTGAGGACCCACGCCCACCTATGCTGCTGTACCAGGTTAGCAAGACTGCCAAGTTAGACACCCTCAACTATCAGAGCTACTTCATGCAGGACATCTTTGCCCATTTCCCCGATATCTTATTTATCCACCGGACCTATAACCCAGTGGGCAAGGTGTTATATGCCTTCCTGGTGGATGGCCCTCAGGTGCAGCTGGAGGGTCATTTTGCCCGGATAGTTTACTTTGCCATTCCTGCCACGGAGGATGCTGAAGGCCTGACCCAGATGTTCCAGACATTCAAGAAGTTTAACCCAGCCTGGGAGAAAGTCTGTACTATCCTGGTAGATCCCTTCCTCCTCCCTATGCCCACCCTAGCTATGGAGTTCCCCGCAGCTGAGGTCCTACCCTCAGCCTTCCATATCTGTAAGTTCTTCCAGGGCAAGTTCTACCAGCTTTCCCTCGAACAGCCTGTGAAGCAGGTGCTCCTGACCGCCCTGCAGAGCACAATGTGCTCAGCCACTGCTGGCAACCTGAGGAAGTTCTGTGCACTCCTGAGCAACTTCGTCCCCCCAGAGCAGCTGACCAAGCTACACTTATGCTGGCTGCTCAATGACCGCATCTGGCTGGCCCACCGTTGGAGAAGCCAAGCCGAGAGCAGCCACTACTTCCAGGGCCTGGAGGTCACCATCCGCATCCTCAGCCAGTTCTTTGGCACCACCCCATCTGTGGAACAAGGCATAACCTCCTTGCTCCGGTTCGTGCAGCAGAACTCTGGAGACAAGGCCATCTTCAGCCTGGGCCTGAGTCCCCGGAGCAGTTGTGCCCCCTCGGACATCAGCCCCCAAAGCCCCAAAGTGGAACAGTTGGCAGAAGCCTGCATCCAGCACTCCCTCCACACCATCTGCACAGAGCCAGCAGCCCAGCTCTGCCTGGGTGAGCTTGCCGTGGTCCAGAAATCTATGCAACTCATTGGCTCTGGCTCTGAAAAAGTGAACATACAAATCCTGGAAGATACCCATCGAGTGCAGCCCCAGCCTCCTCCCAGCTGCAACTGCTCCTTTAACCAGGCCTTCCACCTGCCCTGCCGCCACATCCTGGCCATGCTCAGTGCCCGGCGCCAGGTGCTCCAGCCCAATATGCTGCCACCTCAGTGGACAGCAGACTCTGCTGCTAGTCTGGATGACATCTTGGGCAGCAAGTGGAGTGAGGCCCTGGATAAGCACTTGGCTGTGGCTCTCCTCACTGAGCAGGTGGGCCAGCTCTTACAGCACTGCACCCAGGAGGTGTTCGAACAGCGGTACAGCACCCTACGGAAACTGGCCGACATCTGGATCGGCCCTTATGAGCAGGTCCAGCTGTGACTACCTGTGCTGAGAGATGCTCATACACAGGTACACACATCCTCCCTGCACACACACTCACTGTTGTACTTCCCTTGACCCTCCCTCCAGGACAAAACAGGTCTTTGATTGCCTCCTGCTACCTACAATAGTCTAGTTTCCTAAGACGGGAGTCAGCAAACCTTTTCTGCAAAGGGCCCCACAGTAACTATTTTAGGCTTTGCTGGCCATATACAGTCTATTGTACTTGGTTTTGGTTTTGTTTGTTTGTTTGTTTGTTTTTACACCCTCTTGAAAAGATAAAAACTATTCTTAGCTCAAGAACCTTACAAAAACAGGTGGGCCCTGCTCTGAGATAAGAGGTACAGAGATCAAGGTCTAGGACAAGTTTTCCCAGTCCCGAGAGGAAGAGGCCCCTCAGAGGAGCTGGTGCAGCCAGGTTCCCAGTCTTTTTACTCCCCCCTGCCCCATCCTGAGGTCATTAAAGTTGAATGTTGCCTACTTTAGCACTCATCTAGTTTTTTATCTTGCGGAAGGCTCTTTAGGAAATGTCGTGGAAAGAATAGAGATGTTGGAGTCCGGTGCTGCCTGCGAACCTGGTTCCTTACTTGCCTGAGTCTTGAGACCTGGTCTGCCTGTTACCGGCTATGGGACTTCAGGCAGGCCACCTCTCTAAGCTCCAATTTGTTCATCTGTAAAAATGAAGATCCTCGCAGCCCTGGTAAGATTAGAGGAGAGGGCATATAATGGGCCTGACGCCCAGTGGGTGCTCACATAAGTATTAATTTTCTTTCCTTGCCTGTGGTCTCATCACCTGCCTTCAGCAGGCTGGGAAATGTGAGGCAAGAGGAAATTCACATTGCCTGTGATTTTGTACAAGAAGTTTTGATCAAGTCCCAAAACAACACAGAAGAAGCCTCCACTCTCTAAGTAGGGTCCCTACCTCAGGTCATTTTCATTATAATTACTCTGACAAGACCTGTTTCCTAGCTTCGTCGCATCTAGAGAAACTTCCTGGGGTCTGGGCCTTGATGAAGAACTGGTATTCATCTGAGTGGCTCAATCACCCACCCTATCCCCATCCCTGCCATAGGCACCCCCAACCCTATCTGCCCAAAAACCATACGGAGAAGCCACCCTATGTGTCTGATGCTATTTCATCAGCTACAAGCAGGAGCCAGGAGGCTGGCCTCTCCTGGATCTCACTAGGGGCATGTGCCCAGAGGCTGTCTGGGCATGCACCTGCCCCCACTGCACCCCCTCCACCGCCCCCTCTGGCTCTGGATGGGCCATCATGAAAGCTTGAGCTGCCCGGATTAGGTCCTCTTCCCGCAGGCCTGGGACCGGCACGGTAGGGATGCCAGCAATCATCATGGCCAGGGTAAGGATGCAGATGTCAGGCTGGGAGCCGGCCTCCTTTCCCCCTGCCTCAGAGGGCTTTGGCACAACTCCTGGTGATAGCCCACAAAGTAGGAGGGGCCCAGGCCTGCTGGAGCCACCCAGGTGGGGAGCTCTGCTTCTGGAGCAGCCATCCTCCCAGCCCAAGCTCTCCGGCTGCTTCACAGGGGGGAACTTGTGGCAGTATCGGCCGTACTCCTTCTGTCGTAGTGTCTCCCAGCTAGGGCCCCCGGGGCAGCCCGGCACTGCCAGAGTTGAGCCCCAGGCCTGGACACCAGGTACCACCTGCTCAGTTTTCTGGTTCAGTTGGCCTCGTCCACCAGAGGCCACCACCACTGGCTCTACAGGACTATAGGGACCAAGAGATGAGCCTCTAGAAGCAGTCTCACCTGCAGAGACAGGAATGAGATGGGCTATTATTCTTGGTCTCTCTGAGAGGGAGGCCCTGAGGGGCAGGGCATAGGAGCAGAGCACTGGGAACAGGAGCAATGAAGGGCAGCCGAAGAGGGTTATCTAATGGTTGGGAACTAGGTTATACTAATATCCACACTCCCGTCCCCAGCTCTAAGTGATGGAGAAGTGTTTGTTGAATGAGTGAGTGAGCAAGTGGGTAGCTATTGGCAAGCACTTTGAGAATGGAATTTCTTGGAAAAGAATTGACTTTGAGGGCCAACCCCAAAAAGCTTAGCAGAAACCTCCACCTCCCCAGAGCCAGGAAGCAAGTTCTCAGGGGAAATTATACCCATTCCAGTTCCCAGAGCCCCCCTCTCACCTTGGCCGGAGGACAGAAGACCTCGATGAGTTTGTGGGGACATGAAATAGGACATGGCTCCCCCAGAGCGCCTGTTTGTGAGGAAATAGTTGTCTGCCCCCTCCTGCCCTCCCACCCTTCTAGAATGTCACCTCATAGTCTCTCCCTTCTGTACCTGGAACCTACCTCACAACACTGCCTGTTCATTCTAGAACCTCTATAAGACAATGGTTAAAGGAGCACTAACCAGGGTCTGGGCATTCTAGGTTCTTGCCTTTGCCTTGGGCGAGTCTCCCAGACAGTTTTGTTCCTTGAGATCCTCATCTGTACAGTGGGGTAATGACTGTCCACTACCTCACCAGAAGTTGTAAGAACTAAATGAGACCATTTGTATGGAAGCGAATGATCAGGAATACAAATAATGGAGTCTGGTGCTTTGTGGCTGTAGTGTGAGAGAAGGAATTCTCTGCATCGATTCATTTCCTGTCTGACCTCTGGCCTTCAGATTCCCACCAACAAGATGAAATAGTTGGTCTAGGGTTGCACATTAGTTTCCCTTGGGAACTTTTAGAAATCCTGATGCCCAGCCTCATCCCAGCCCATTTAAGGCAGAATTCTAGGGCTCAGACCCAGTTATCCGTCTTTTTCAAAATTCCTCAAGTGGTTATATGTGCCAAAGTTGAGACCTCTATTCTTCTCCACTCTGGCTTTACTTTAGAATCTCAAGGGGAAGCTTTTACAGAAACGATGTCTAGGCCTAAACCTCCAGCAAATCTAGGAATCTCTGGAGATGGAGTCTATACACTGATGAGTAGCCAGGCTAGGAACCACTGGTCTAGATGATGTCTAAAGCGCTCTCTCTTGCCCTGGCCAATGTGGCTCAGTGGGTTGGAGCATCATCCTGTACACTAAAAGGTGGTGGGTTTGATTCCCAATCAGAGCACATACCTGGGTTGTGGGTTCAATCCTTGGTCAGGATGCACACGGGAGGCAACCTATTGAAGTGTGTCTCTCAAATGAATTTTTAAAATAAAATATGTTTTCTCTTCCCCTGTTCAGGTTGCTAAGGTGGTTAAAGAATCATCCCTGCCGAAACCGTTTTGGCTAGTGGTAGAGCGTCAGTCTGTGGACTGAAAGGTCCCAGGTTCGATTCCGGTCAAGGGCATGTACATTGGTTGCGGGCACATCCCCGGTGGGGGGTGTGCAGGAGGCAGCTGGTCAATGTTTCTCTCTCATTGACGTTTCTGGCTCTCTATATCTCTCTCTTCTTCTCTGTAAAAAAATCAATAAAATATATTTAAAAAAAGGATCATCCCTGATAAACCAAGGTTGTGGATTCAGTCCCTAGTTGGGGCACACACAGGAATCAGCCAGTGGATAAACAAATAGGTGGAATAACTAATGTTTCTGTCTCTCTGTCCCCCTTCCCCTGTGAAAAATCAATGAATGTTTATTTTAAAAATATTTTTATTGATTTTAGAGAGGAAGGGAGAGGGATAGAGAGATAGAAACATCAATGATGAGAGAGAATCATTGATTGCCTGCCTCCTGCACACCTCCTACTGGGGACCAAGCATGCAACCCAGGCATGTGCCCTTGACTGAAATTGAACCTGGGTCCCTTCAGTCCACAGGCCAAACCGGATAGGGCTGAATGAATTTTTAAAATAAATAAAAATAAAATGCTGTCTCTTGCTCTGACGTGCTAACCAACCCACAGTCATTCTAAAAGAAGTGCTCCTTACAGGCTGCAGGGGCCAGGAGACCCTCTAATGATCAGCACTGGCTTTTATTTCTGTTTCGGGCTGACAGCAGGATGGCCATTCAGACCAGCCACAGCTATGGGGCCAGCACGCGACCTTGGCCCCTGCTCCAGGGCAGCTGCAGGCCTTCACTCATACTTGCAGAAATCCTTAAGTCCTTTGGGCAGGTGGAGCCCATCAATGGCCAAACGGTGCACCACGCTCCTCTGGATCACCAGGCGGCACAGGGTCTGCAGGGATGGCACTGTGGAAAGAAGATGGCCAGAGGCAACCTGAGCAGGAGGGTAGGTCTAAGGCCGAGTACCAAAAGATCTAGGTCTTGGTCGTCCCCCCACCCCCTTTGTCATTAAGTTGAGCAACTCCCTTCTACTCTCGGGATCCCTCGTGACTCATGGGGCTGTACCTGTGCTTGAGATAAGCACCTCTTTCACAATTCTTTCACAATGCTGCAGCCCTATTTCTAGTGTAACACTCAGTTCCCTCCCTTCCCCCCCGACTTAGCAGCTTCTGGGGGCAGGGTAGTTTCCGACTTAGCTGGGGGCAGGGGTAGTTTCCGACTTAGCTGTGCAACTCTAGCCTCCAGCACAGAGTGGGCTCTGGTTCACTGAATACATAAAATGTGATCAGAGGTCCAAATAAAGGATTTTTCGGGGCTCTAATGAACCAAATCTCAGGATTAAGAAGCTCTCAATCTGGAGTCTGTGATGTCTTTAAACTGGTATGCCCAAATCCAGGAACATTGTTTTAATAAAAGAGCACACAACTCTCAGAATCTAAAAGGCCCAGAATCTAAAATCAGTTCGGATTAATACAGAAAATAATATCAAAGCCAGAGGGAACTTGGAAGGCATTCTAATCAGTCACAGCCAAGACAGTAACTGAGGCCCAGAGCTAGGGAACGACTTATCCAAGACCACAAGCAGTGGCATAATATGGGGTCAGATCCCCCGCCTTTTAAATTAATGCTGGACAGACCAAAGCCTTGAGCTGGCTCGGAAGCCTAGCAAGTTCAGGTCCCACACTGGGCCAGGAGGGGTCGCTATCTAGCAGGTGGGATACCTACAGCCATACTCAAGCTGGACCAGGCGCACGCTCTTAGTGGAAGCAAACACGTCCACCACTGCGTAGAGGGGCTGGGCAGCTGGCAGCCCCCGGGCGCTGGGGCCCATGTCCTCGCCATTGATGACGATGTGCATGTCGGCTGTGCCGTCCGGGCGTGGGCAGAAGAGAACGCCCAGGCGGCTACGGCGCGCGGTCGGAGGCAGCACGTTCAGCTCATAGAGCTGGTCCAGGAGGTGGCTGTAGAGTCCGGGCCGACTGCGGCCCACCAAGCGGTCGCGGGGAATGCGAAACTGCTCAATGCACAGATACGGTTCCACCAGGAGGGCTGGGGGTCGGCAGGGGACGGCTGCCTCCGCAGCCGGGCGGCCCTCCCGGGGCACGCGGTTGTGGTGGCGCGTGATGGCGAAGACCCAGGTGTGGCCGAGGCTGACCAGGTCAGGCAGCGAGAACTCAGGCACGGGCGCCAGACTGGCGGGGTCCAGCGCAGTCAGGCCGAGGCGCAGGTGGCCGCACCAGCCCAGCTCTTTCTCCTCGATCTCGACCAGAAATATCTGGCCCGGGGCCAGCGGCTCGCGACTGAAGCACACGCCGTGAGCGAAGCTCTCCACGCGCGTGGCCCGCGTCCCGGAGGGGTCCACGCGGATGTTGGCACCGTGCACCGGGTGGAAGCGGGTGGGAGAGGGCTCGGGGCGCGCGGGCCCCCAGGGCGCACCCAAGTCCATGGGGTCGGAGACAGCAGCCATGGCCCCGCCATGAGCCAGGCCTGTGGGCGCCGGGGACTATTTCGGGCAGCTGGCTCAGAAGGTGACCGCGGAGGAATGGAAGGTATTCCCCCCTACACTCGCCCCGGAGGCTCTGTCCGGGGGGTCCTAGTGCCGCTTCATTAAGCCATTCCGCCTCAAACTGCCCCGTGGAAGGCTGTGGGGGGGGATCCTGGGCTGTCCAAACCCAGTCATCTGATCAGGGGCACCCGAGATGTGACCTTGGAGGCCCCCGACTCCGACTGGGCGTGGACCGTCGCTGCCCCCGCCTTTCCCGGGTCAGCATTCCCCGCCGAGCCGCGGGAGGCTGTCACGTGACGCCAGAGCACACGTGACGCGGCGCACACATGACTTCCCGCCGCCCGACAGCTCCCGGAGAACAAGGACGCGGGGGAGCAGAGGTGAGGGGACGCCGAAGGCGGGGAGGGATCCCGGACCCCCCGGCGGCGCGCGGAGCGAGCGGGGGAGGCCGGGCTGGGAGCTGGGGCTGGGGAGCGCGCCAGCTCCTCCCCGGGGACGGCTGCCCGCAGCCCGGCAGCCAGTAAACAGCCGGCGCCCGCTTCCTCCCCAGATGGTCCGAGCCGCGCCGTCGCCGCTCTTCTTCCCGCTGCTGCTGCTGCTGCTCGGGTCGCCCCGAGGCGAGGCAGCCCCCGATCAAGACGAGATCCAGTGTCTTCCCGGGCTGGCCAAGCAGCCATCTTTCCGCCAGTACTCGGGCTACCTCAAAGGCTCGGGCTCCAAGCATCTCCACTACTGGTCCGCGGCTCACCCTCCCAGGGCGGGGGGAGGAGGGAGCACAGTGATGCCCCCCTGGCGAGAGGACCGCGGGGTGGGGGTTCTGAAGATTCCTGAGGGAGCCTTAGCAGCAGGGAGGTCTGGAAGAGGCCCCTAAACCTGCACCCACTCAGGCCTGACCGCTCCCTCCCAGGTTTGTGGAGTCCCAGAAGGATCCCAAGAGCAGCCCTGTGGTGCTCTGGCTCAATGGAGGGCCGGGCTGCAGCTCCCTAGATGGCTTCCTCACCGAGCACGGCCCCTTCCTGGTGAGTGGAAAGCAGCTCTCTCCTCCATGACCCAGGAAAAGGAGAGGAAGGGGACATTCCCAAAGGAAAGGGACTTTGGTTTTCCCCCCCAAAATGGGCCCTTTTTCTGAGCCTTACTTTATCTGTACTATCGGCTTGACATGGTGGCTAATCAGCCATATCTTTCCTCCTCAGATCCAACCAGATGGTGTCACCCTGGAGTACAACCCCTACTCTTGGAACTTGGTAGGGGCGGTGCTGTGTGTCGGTCCTGTGGGATGTCTGGGCACTTGGTCGGGTGTGGCGCTCTCTGCAGCTGTTTCCTCATCCCCTCTAGATTGCCAACGTGCTGTACCTCGAGTCCCCAGCAGGGGTGGGCTTCTCCTACTCCAAGGACAAGTATTATGCGACCAATGACACTGAGGTGAGTCCTGCACCTGCCCGTGTGCCCAGGCTCCCTGGTTTTCTAAGGGTGGCATAATACAGGCAAAGACCATGGATTAGGAATCCTTTTTTGGCTGTTAAATGCTACCCGGTGTGATCCTGTCACTATGAAGCCACTTCCTCTTGCACAAACAGGGTGGGCTGGTATCATTATCTGGAGATCCTTTCCAGCTCAGATACCAAAGTCTCCGGGTCCCCTCCATCCTGCCATCCCCAGGTTGCGCAGAGTAATTTTGAGGCCCTTCAAGATTTCTTCCGCCTCTTCCCGGAGTACAAGGACAATGAGCTTTTCCTGACGGGAGAGAGCTATGCAGGCATCTACATCCCCACCCTGGCTGTGCTGGTCATGCAGGACCCCAGCATGAACCTTCAGGTGCGGGGCTGCTACAGGGGGGAGGGGGAGAAAGTGGTCATAGCTTCCTGATCGGGGAGGTCAGACAGGTCAACTCCGCCATCCAACCCAGACTCCTTCATCACACCCTCACCTCGAGCTGGCCTCTCTGTTCGCGTGCCTCCCGTGACAGGAAACTCACTTGTCAGGCTGCCAGCTCTGTTCTCTATGTTGTGTGGCCTCCCCCACCCGCACACCCCCACAAACCACCCTGTTTCAGTTTCCATATTGCTGAAGGTCTGGGTGTAAGTCAAGGGAAGTTCCTCCTCCCCAGCCTCCCGCTGAACTGGATGCCCCGACTGTTTCACAGGGGCTGGCCGTGGGCAACGGACTCTCCTCCTATGAACAGAATGACAACTCTCTCGTCTATTTTGCCTACTACCATGGCCTCCTGGGGAACAGGTATGGGAGGGGGGCAACTGGGCAATCTTCTGGGTGGGACAGGGTCACAAAATCTCAGGTCTGTCCTCCAGGCACATAATATTCTGAGCCCTACCCTGGTTTGTGAGCAGAAGGTGGGGGCTGGGGTTGTTAGGACGGTGCTAAGAGGCCTAAGACTAGAGATTAGAATTTAAAGGGACCAAGGAGGACTAGTAGGATGGCCCAGGGGCAGCTAGGTTGGGGACCTTCAAACACACCCTTGTGATATATTTCCTCCTCCCCGGGGTATCTGGTCACCATGGGAGGTTGGAAGGAGGAAGTGGGTCTCTAAGCACTTTCACTCTGATCTTCTATCCAGGCTCTGGTCTTCCCTGCAGACCCACTGCTGCTCTCAAAGCAAGTGTAACTTCTACGACAACAAAGACCCAGAATGTGTGAACAGTGTAAGGTCCTGCCCCCACCGTGTGTCATCCTGGTACCCCCAGTCCTGGGAACGGGACCACATCTCCTCCTGGGGGACTCCCTGCCCCCACCCCTATTGTTGTCCTATCCTGCATGCTTCAGCAATCGAGGTTCTGTGGGACACATGAATACGGATGCCAAGCCATCACCACATCCTGTGGTTTTTCTGGGTAAATCCCCTCACCCCTGGGAGAGAAAGGTGTTTTCTGATCTATCACCTGCCCCGTGCCAGGGCACATCATATAATCGTCAGTTTCTCTTTCAAGGGAGATGTATCAGTCCCATTTTCCAGATAAGGAAACTGAGGCCAAGAACGTTAAAGTCACAGTGCTAGGAAGTAGAAGCACTAGGATTTGAACCCAGGTCTAGCTTATTCCATCCACTGAGCCTCATTTTCCCTGTGTGTGAAAAAAAGTAGAGAAAGGGTAATGACAGGGTGAGGTGGGAAAGCGCTAAGTCTTGGGACAAGTTGATGATGTCACGGGAAAGCCAGGTTTTTGTAAAGCATGGTGGCGCGGGGTGCCGTTGCAGCTCCAGGAAGTGTCTCACATCGTGGCCAGCTCTGGTCTCAACATCTACAACCTCTATGCCCCGTGTGCTGGCGGGGTGCCAGGCCATGTGAGGTAAGAACTGCTTGGGTGCCCATTGGGCCAACCGCAGCCCCCTCTTGAGGCTCAAGCACCTATCCCCTCCCCCCCTTCTCTTCCAGGTATGAGAAGGATACTGTCGTGGTCCAGGATTTTGGCAACATCTTCACTCGCCTGCCAATGAAGCGAACGTGGCATCAGGTATGCGAAGAGTCTGGGCTTCCTCTGGGGGTTGGGAGAGGCAGGCAGGGAGGTGAAGACCCTGACCCTGTCTGTGCCCCTCAGGCACTGCTGCGTTCTGGGGATAGGGTACACCTGGACCCCCCCTGCACCAACACCACAGCCACCTCCACCTACCTCAACAACCCTTTCGTGCGGAAGGCCCTCCACATCCCCGAGCAGCTGCCTGGCTGGGACATGTGCAAGTGAGGTTATATGGCTGCCAACGGCTGGGGGTTGGCGGCCTGTTGGGGCTTGTGGGCATCAGAAAAGTCCCCCGGAATCTTTTGGCACTCGGGGCAGCAGCGAGTTGTTTTCCAGGGTGTTTAAACCCTACGTTGGTTTTCAGCCAGTTCATTCTTAAATGGCCGTGTGTTTGTTAAAATAGTAGACACACACCCAACTCCCCTCCACTCCAGTGCCATCCCAGCAGCTCAGCTCTCCGTTGACGGAGTAAAAAGGTGATGAGAGGCAAGCAGGGACCACTTGCCCTACTGTTCTATGCTGTGGTTCTCACACCTACGAGCCTCTATGCCCTACATGCCGGTTGCATCCAGTCATTGAAACAACCAAAGTGTCCCTGTGCACTTCTAAACGAGAGTTGGCTGAGGACCTCTGAGGTCCAGCCCCCACTTAGAGAAGCAGCATGCCCGAGGAGGACTGAGTCCCAGCTGTCTGCCTCCTAGGCTAGAGCTTGGGGTTAGGAGAGGTCTGATCTGTTGACTCTTTCTTCCCCTCCCTGGTCTTCCCGGGACCGTGCGCCTGCAGCTTCCTTGTGAATATACAGTACCGCCGTCTCTACCAAAGCATGAATTCCCAGTACCTGAAGCTGCTTGCCCCACAGGTGAGTAGGGGCAGCACAGCTGGGTACACCAGCAGCCTCAGGGTCTGGAGCAGGGTGGCAAGGCAGAGGAAACTGGAAGCTACAATTCCCAAGAAGTGAAGCACTTGCCCAAGGTCCTGTAGTTGGGCGGGTCAGGATTTGAATCTGGCTTTGGCCCACCCCTTGCTGCTCTGGTGTAGGAGGTTGAGGGGTCTGTGTTGGCCAGGAAGCCTTTAGGGTGAGAAGAGCTAGTCAGATGGTGTTACAGATAGGCAAATGGAGGTCCAGGATGGGAGAGGTCTTGTCCAAGGTCACCTAGGAGACACTAGCAGAGCCAGGTTAGGACCAGGTCTGTATGCACAGTGGTTAGAGCGTGGGCTGAGGGTCAGATTGCCTGGGTGCGAGTTTCTTTACTAGCCATGTGACCCTAGGCAGCTTTCTCACATATCTTGAGACTCGGTTTCCCCAGCTGTAAATGGGATTAATCATGGCACCCGCCTTCAAAGGGAAAGCATTTCATAGAGCACTGGACGCGTGTAGGAAAGCAGTCAGAAAGCACAAGCACATCCAGGGCCACCCTGTTTAGCTGGGCCCCTTAAATTCCCTGAGGGGGAGGTAGGGCTTGAACCGGATAAGGGCGGAGACCTGGGCTTGTCCCAGACCTCCCACTTTCCCCTGCTCCGCTCCAGAAATACCGGATCCTGCTCTACAACGGAGATGTGGACATGGCCTGCAACTTCTTGGGGGATGAGTGGTTTGTGGATTCCCTCAACCAGAAGGTGAGGCAGGGACGGTGGCCCGGGGAGGCTGGTGCAGGGGGAGGGGGAGCATGCCTGACCGACAGGGCAAACCTGGAGGAGTTCCCGCCCCGAAGGCCTTGAGGTCCCGTGTCTGTGAGCAGGGCTGGCGGGTGGCTGCCAGCTGCTAATGGTTCCTGGTGGGGCAGGTGGAGGTACAGCGCCGGCCCTGGTTAGTGAACTACGGGGACAGCGGGGAGCAGATCGCCGGCTTCGTGAAGGAGTTCTCCCACATCGCCTTTCTCACCATCAAGGTAGGGCCTGGGCCTGGCGAGGGCGGGCTGGCTGGGGCGAGAGGGATGGGGCAGGACCCACCTGGTCTTTCCTTCCCACTTCCCTTTATGCTGGGTTCCATCTGGCCCCCCAAGGACAGGGACAGGGAGTAGGGGATGAAGATGGGAAGGTTTGGAGCCGGTGGGTGGAAGAGGATGCAGTGGGATGAAGGAAGCCCCCAGGGGCAGGGAGGGAATCTTACAAAGCTTTGCTTCTCAGGGCGCTGGACACATGGTCCCCACCGACAAGCCCCTGGCTGCCTTCACCATGTTCTCCCGCTTCCTGAACAAGCAGCCATACTGACGACCACGGGGGCAGCCCCTCCTGCCTCTCCCGCGAGAAGAGAGGGCCTCCTTAATGCAAATTCCCCTGCAGGGCAGTGAGGGACTGAGCACTTTATTCCTGACGGGCAGGGCCTGGGCCCTCCCTGCTTACACAAGGCCCTTCATGCACTGATGCCACCCCAGGAACACAATGGAGCTCGCACAGCCCGCCGGGAGGAGGGACGGACTGTAATTGATCGACTGAGTGTGATTACAAAATTAAATTTGGTACCACTTACAGCCTCCTCTCCTCTGTGGTACTGGGGGTTAAAGAGGGTACTGTGAGCTGTGGGGGGGTGAAGGAGGGGATAAGAGGCATTGGTCCTGAATGCAACTGCCAGGGGCGGGGCTGAGGGCTCAGGCAGCTGCTGTGGAGGGTGGGGGGGCACTGGGTACCCCGGAGTCCACAGTGTTCGCAGGCCGCCGGTTCTTCTCAATCACCTCTCGCAGCCCTTTGGCAAAGTGGAGGTCAGCGCCGATGGTGAGGAAGCCCTGTGCAATGGGGCAGGGAAGGAAGTCCATTCATTCCAGTACTGAGGCCAGAGTTTAGAGAGACAGAGAGAGCCTTGGCCTTGAGGGGCTTCTCACTCTAGTGGGACAGATGGAACAGCAAAGCAGTTATAACTTGCTGTGAAGGGTGCTGAAATAGAGGCTGCAGGAATTAGCCCGTGGGGCTCCAGAGGGCTTCCCAGAGGAGGTGACCTCAGCTAAGACCTGAAAGGTGAGCAGGCATGGGAGCTGGAATCATTCCAAGGAGAGGGCCCAGCCTGTACAAAGGGCTAGAGGGGCCTGATGTAAGATTAAAATGGGAGGGAGCACCTCAGAGGGAGGGTGGGGATAAAAGGGAGAGATCAACCAAAGGACTTACTGCATACATGAGCCTAACAAGTGGTCAAGGACAATAGGGAGGTGGGGGATAGGAATGGGGGGGATGAGGACAAATATGTGATACCTTAATAAAGAAATGAAAAATAAAGTAAAAGTCAAAAAAACAAAACGGGAGGGAGCCATTGATGAGGGAGGAGCTGCTGAGGAAGAAGGTCTGCCCGCCTTCCCCATCGAACCCCACTCACCACGTGATTCGTCACCACCTCTCGCACAAAGTCCATCCCCTCGGGCAGTGGGATCTGCACCCCACGTCGGAGCCGTTCTGTGGGTGGGGACAGCTGGCTCAGTCTGGGCCCACCCAGGTCCCTCGCCTGCCCTCCCACCTCATACCCCGTACCCTACCATTGAGCAGGGGCATCACCCCAAACTGCAGCATGGTCTTCAGGGGGGCCTGCAGCGGGATCAGCTGGGAGGGAGGTGGGGCGGAGTCAGGGTGGGAGGAGCGGCTGGGCTTACCATAGCCGCTCACCCTGACCCCAGCCTCGGCCCACCCACCATTCCCAACTCACTGCCAGCGACTCCAGTGCAGACTGGTTGGAGTAGATTCGGAACCTGTGGGAGAGAGAAATGCCTGGTGGTGTGCCTCCCTCCACTGGGCCTCCCAGGCCAGCAGAAGCCCGAGTTCAGTCTCAGGTGTCCCACCTCTGCACCTTCCCAGGGGGTCCTACCACTCCAGGTGTGTATTATTTTTTTAATGTATTTTATTGACTTCAAAGAGAGGAAGGGAGGAGAGTTGGAAATATCCATGATGGCAGAGAATCATCCATCAGCTGCCTTCTGCATGCCCCCTACTGGGAATTGAGCTTGCAACCTGGACATGTGCCCAGACCGGGAATGAAACATGACCTGGCTCATAGATAGATGGTCATAGGACATCCAGATGTGTCCTCTTGGTGAGCCTCTCCTTCTAGGTCTCTTTTCCCCATAGTGGCTGCTGCTTATTTGCCGAGCGCTTCCTACATGCCAGACTTCTGCGGATAGCTTGTTTGGTTTATTATTATTATTGTTAATCTTCGCCAGAGGATGTTTTTCCATTGATTTTATTTTTTTAGAGGGAAAGGGAGGGAGAGAGAGAGAGGAACATCGATTGGTTGCTTCCTGCATGTGCCCCAACATGCCGGGGACCGGGGGGCCAGGGATCAAACCTGAGACCTTCCATGCATGGTCTGACACTTTAGCCACTGAGCAACACTGCGAGGGCATGTGCCGCTTATCTTTAACAGAAACTACCGTCCAGCCCTACCCGGTTTGGCTCAGTGGATAGAGCGTCAGCCTGCAGACTGAAGGGTTTCGGGTTTGATACCCGTCAAGGGTAAATGCCCAGGTTGCCAGCTCAGTCTCCAGTAGGGGGTATGCAGGAGGCAGCTGATCAATGATGTTCTCATTGATATTTCTATCTCCCTCTCCTTTCCTCTCTCAAATCAATAGAAATAAAATAATAAATAAAAAAAATACAGCCGAAACCGGTTTGGCTCAGTGGTAGAGCGACTGAAAGGTCCCGAGTTCGATTCCGGTCAGGGGCATGTACATTGGTTGCGGGCACATCCCCATTAGGGGATGTGCAAGAGGCAGCTGGTGGATGTTTCTCTCTTATCGACGTTTCTAGCTCTCTATCCCTCTCTCCTCCTCTCTGTAAAAAAATCAATAAAATATATTTTTTTAAAAAGTACAGAGCTTACTCCCTGCCAGACACTAAATGTGTTTAAGAAGTTAAAATCCTGGCCAGGTAGTTCAGTTAGAACATCATCCCAATATACCAAGGATGCTGGGTTCTATCCCCAGTCAGGGAACACACAAGAGGTAAGGAATGAATGCATCAATGAGTGGAATAATAAATCAGTGTTTCTCGCCGAAACCAGTTTGGCTCAGTGGATCGAGCCTGCGGACTGAAGGGTCCCAGGTTTGATTCTGGTCAAGGGCATGTACCTTGGTTGCGGGCACATCCCCAGTGGGGGGCATGCAAGAGGCAGCTGATGAATGACTCATCAATGTTTCTAACTCTATCCCTCTCCTTTCCTCTCTGTAAAAAATCAATAAAATATATATATTTTTTAAAAAATCAGCGTTTCTCTCCCCTCTCTAAAATCAATAAATTTTTTAAAAATTACAAAGCTAAGTTGTGCTGGGTTCCTGCCAAAACCCATGTTCTGAGGTGCTCGGTGTGACTGAGCATGTCACTTAGCCTCGCTGGGCGAGTTTGGTCCTCTCTCAGCCAGCACTCTCTTTGAAGAGACCACAGCTCCTCGGTGGCTCGTTGGAAAGACGGAACTTTAGCTCCCGTTCTGTAGGCACATGTGATTGTCCCGAAGACACTGAGGCCCAGAGGCTAAGGGCTCGGGGGTTCCCAGACGCCTCTCTCATACTTGCGCAGGTCCAGGTGCACGCGCAGCGCGTTCCCCCGGAGGGCCATCTTGGCGCTGAGGCGGGCGTCCTGCGGGGACGTGGGGAGGGGCCGGTGTTACTGACCAGGCAGGTCCCCAGCCCGCTCTCTCCAGCCCTCACAGCCCTCACTCTGGTGCCCCACCATGATCATGCTGGACAGCTGGACCTCCGGCTGGTTGGGTGGGACCAGGGTGATGGAGACACTGGCCGTGACAGAGATGGTGGTGCCCGAAGGCTTGATGGTGCAGTGCGGTGGTGCCAGGACGCGCAGCTCCAGCTTCAGCGGGGAGTCCAGCACTGCAGGGGTCTGCGGGCGGAGCAGGGAGGGAGGGTCAACCCCGGATCTGTTCCCAGATGAGCCCCGGAGGAAGGGGCTCGGACTCAAGGTCTGCCCTCTGAGAGCCCCGAGGACAAATTCGACAAAGGTGAAGCTTCCCAGCCTGCGGAATTGTGTCCAGCCTCTGTGCCTCTGCTCACACCAATGTCTTATCCTAAGGAGGTCCCTTCCTTCCCTCTCCGCTCTCAGTTCTCAGTGTTCATGACCCATCGCCCATCCACACTCCTCAGAGACAGTCTCTGCTTTCCATGTCCCAGTCCCCAGCCCTGGCTCCTTTCTCAAACTGCTGTGCTGTTGCTTGTAGGGGGCAGTGTGGAGGGCTGCTGGGTTTCCACACGGACCAAGTGCTTACTCTTAACCAGACATTTCATTTAACCTCACCACAACCACGTGAGACAGGTATTCTTTTTGGAGGTGGGGAAATTAGGGCACAGAGAGGTTAAGTAATTTGTTAGAGGTTATGTAGTTACTCATTGCAGAACTGGGATGCCAACCCAGGCAGTCGGCAATAGAGCCCATGCTCTGAACGGCGCTTGGCCGAACATTTGATGATGAGATGATAGCAATAACAACAGCAGCTAGCCGGAACCGGTTTGGCTCAATGGATAGACCGTCGGCCCGCGGACTGAAAGGTCCCGGGTTCGATTTCGGTCAAGGGCATGTACCTTGGTTGCGGGCACATTCCCCAGTGGGGGGTTTGCAAGAGGCAGCTGATTGATGATTCTCTCTCATCAATGTTTCTAACTCTCTATCCCTCTCTCTTCCTCTCTGTAAAAAATCAATAAATTAAAAAAAAAAAAGCAGCTAGTGTTCTGCGAGCACTTACTCTGTTCCAGGTGCTAGTACACTTGTTTTGTGGGTAGTAAGTCATTTAATCCTCATGACAACACTACCAGGTTGTATGTGTAGTGAATGCCAGTGTGACCAGGAATCACAGATTCATAATCCAGGTTCATATATCGGCTCCATCATTTACAAAACTGAACCAAGGACACCGAAATACTCCTTGTTAAATTTTAAACTCCCTGCCTGGCCAGTTTGGCTCAGCGGTTACAGCATTAACCTACAGATGAAAGGGTCATGGGTTCGATCCCCAGCCAAAGGCACGTACCTCAGGTTCCTTGGTTGCAGGTCGTCCCTGGCCCGTAGGGGCATGTGCGGGAGGCAACCAAAGTGTCTCTCTCACATTAGAGTCCATGTTTCTCTCCCCCTACTTTCCCTCTCTAAAAAAAATCAATGAAAAAAAAATGTTCTCTGGTGAGGATATCCCCTTTAAGCAAAGGAAAATAAGCAAAAAGAATAACATCAGTCATCAAAGCCCCTACACTTCCTTGCAGAGCTTGTGTTCTCATCACGGCTTCATGAAGGACAGA